GAGTACATCAAGGGCTCAGTGAGCAACTGTTCACCAGGGCACCCAAAGGGAAAACCAGGGGTAATGGCCAAAATTCCTGGAAGATCAATTCAGGCTCACCATTAGGCAAAACTTCTTTACAGTCAGGGTGCCCAGACCATGGAATAAGCTCCCTCCAGAGGTGGAGCCATTGGCAATGTATAGGGGGAGCAGTTGCACCCCCTGAGATTGGCAGTGCACCCCCTGGAAGCCAGTCATGAAACAGGAGGTGCCGGCGGAAGTGCACTTCCGGTTTTGCCAGTTTCACTGCTGGTGGTTCTGGGCTCAGCGATCAGCCTCTGGGGGACTCTCCCCCCGGTCGGCAATCTGATGCCTCCCCAGACTCAGGAGGCACCAGTTGCCCATGGGTAGTGTAATCACCTACCCTGGAAATCTTCAAGAGGAGACCAGACAGTCACCTTGCTGGGGGGTCACCTGACCCCCAGTTATCTTTCCTGCTTGGTGCAGGGGGCCAGACCCAATGATTTTCCAAGGTCCCTTCTGGCCTTACAATCTATAAATCTATGGATCTATGAACACCCTTGCTCTCTCGCCAGGCTGCGGCACCCCTGCCATTCAGCCAATCATCAGTGGCTACGCCCGGATTGTGAATGGTGAGGAGGCGATCCCTGGTTCCTGGCCCTGGCAAGTCTCCCTGCAGGTAAGAGCCCAACAGCCCCTTGTGCCCAGATGGGGCACAAACCCAGGAGGGGCCCAACTTTGAAAAAGCAGGGAGCTGCTGATCAGAGGGCAAGGCGTGGTGCTCCATGAAGGTGGTCCCACCCGCTCAGAGCCTGGCAGCTGCAGGTTCCCAGCTAAGTGCAGGTTCCTGGGTCTTCCTGTGCCAGGGTAGCCAGTGGGAGTCCCAGGCCATCTCTCTGGCAACCCTGGGAGCTCAGGTACTTTCTGGAAGAGGAGGCTTCCTCCTGGGATCTTTGGGTAGAGTGCCCCAACTTGTGCCAGAGGGGCTGCCCAGCAGTGGAGCACTATGGGCAAAGCTGGCTGTAAGCTTGTTCCCATCAGGTGAACTACTGTGCTCACAGCTATGTCAAACTGGGGAAAAGGCTTCTGCTGAGCTCAGAGGATGCTGGCTCAGACCCTGTAACTTGATGTCTGTGCTCACTTGCAGGGCTTTTGGGACAGTGTGGGTCTTTGCAATGGGGAAAAAGGCTGGAAAAGCATCTCTGTGGGAGACGGGCTGGGCTGTGCCCTGCTGGCAGGATTGGATCCAGAGGAAGGGGTGTCTCTGGCGTGTGCCTACCCCATGGCCAAAGTTGTTCATTGTCTCCTCTCCCCATCACAGGATAACACTGGATTCCATTTCTGTGGCGGCTCCCTGATCAGTGAAGACTGGGTGGTGACTGCAGCCCACTGTGGGGTCAAGTAGGTGCCCTGCTTTTGCCCTCCTGCACGGTGAAGTCACTGGGGGCATAGAATGAGACAGGGAAGACTGTAGATAATCTGGTTGGATTGAAACTGTATGGAAGTCTGGACTTTCTCAGGGAATTGCGCTAGAGGTGGATGAGCTGCAGCAGGGCACCAGGTTCCTGCCACAGGGGCTGCCTTCACAAGATCCATCTGTGGTTGATGTCTGCTGCTCCGTCAATGTCCTGCCTCTATCCTTGCATAGAGGCTCCCCAGTAGCCGTGCCATAGTTTGACTGGCTAAGAACCACTCTGCAGAGCCTCTATGAAAAGCTCAGGGCAGTGGGAGGAAATGTGCACTTCCTGTCTCCTGAGTGTGACTTCCCTGCAGGACAACTGACCGTGTGGTGCTGGGTGCATTTGACCTGGGCTTTCTAGGAGAGGATGTGCAAGTCCTGAAAATTGCCCAGGTAGGTGGCTGGCTCTGTGCTGTGTCCACCCTGGGGTTGCCCAGGATCCCACCCCTCTCCATGGGTCCAGGCTACAGCATCATCCTCTGTCACTGAGGGGAGCCTGGGACACACCCACTTTGCCACATGCACAGAGCCTTGCATGCCCATCACACCCCATCTGAATGTGTAGTGAGTGCACAGTAAGATCACTGTGATTCCCATGGGGGAAAGGACATGGTCTCCCTGGGCTCTCAGTGGTGGTAGAACTGGCCTCCACGGGTCTTGCTGTCAGTGGACCTGGTCACCCTGGGGTCCTGCTGGGGGAGCCGTGCCTTCTGCTTGAGTCCTGTGTTGGTGGAATTAGTCTCTGTGGGTCCTGGAGAAGTCATCTCTGGTCTCTGTGGGTCTGTTGGGGATGACCTGGTCTGTGAGGGTCCTGTGCAGTGGTCCCTGGTCAGTGTAGGGTCTCCTGGATAGCACCAGGTCTCAGAGTGTTGCTCTGTTTCTCTGACAGGTTTTCAAGAACCACAATTTCAACATGCTCACGCTCAGAGATGACATCACTCTGCTGAAACTGGCCACTCCAGCCAAAATGACGGCCCGTGTGTCTCCTGTGTGCCTGCCTGAAGCCACCGACTACTTCCCTGGAGGCATAACCTGTGTCACCACAGGGTGGGGCCTGACCAACCCCAATGGTGAGGTCTCTGAGCACCCAGGCTGCTCCTGCTGCTCACAACCCCCAACACCTGAGAGCATTCTGGACCCAGCTGGGTGATACTTCCAGCCAGCTGCCCCCACTAACTCACCCGTGCCCCTCTTCTCAATTCCACCACCTCCACTCATTCTTTGGGAACACAGTGGACCAGCTAAGGGGACCAAACTGGCACCCCAAGTCCTGTGTATTCCACAGTCCCTCCTGTTGGAGCCCCAGCCTGTGCAAATACTGTGAGGACCTGAGGCTCCAAGGTAGCTCTGTCGTATTCTGGGTCTGCTGGGCTAGAAAGTACCAGGAATGCATGCCCAAGGACCTGGGGGCCTGTGCACTGTTCTGCTGAATGCTTTCCCTGTTCCTTGCCATGTTTTGCAGCTCAGAAGACCCCTGAGAAGCTGCAGCAGGTGGCCCTTCCACTCCTGACTAATGCACAGTGCAAGTCATACTGGAGCTACAGGATTAAGGATTGCATGGTCTGCGCAGGTGCCAAGGGAGCCTCCTCCTGCATGGTACCCAGCCCTCCACACAGCCCTCCTTTACCCTACCTCCAGGCTCTCCATCTGTCCAGGAAGCCCCAGTACCCTGAGGATGCTCCCCTTCTAGCCATTTCCTTGCTCCAGCTCTTCCTTACACTGTCTCCATCACCCCATCTAGTCATTTGGATGACAAGACTGAGTGCAAACTAAGCAGATTTACAGGTGACACCAAGATGGGTGCAGTTGCAGACACTCTGTGGGGTAGGACTACAATCTAGAATGACCTAGATACACTGGAGAAGTGATCTGCAATCAATCAGGTGAAATTCATGACATTTCTGCACTTGGGATTAAATAACTGGACCCACAAATATATACTGCCTGAGCTGCAGTACTGCAGAGAAAGACTGAATAGGAGCCAACACTGTGCTTTTGCTGAAAAAAAGTCAACACTGGATTATATTAACAGGAGTGTCACTTGCAAATCAGGGAAAGTGAGTCTTCCACTCTTTTCAGCACCGATGAGGCCTCACCTGGAGTGTTGTGCCCAGACTTCAAAAGGGATGCAGACAGATTGGAATGAGTCCAGCAGAGTGACAAAAATGGCTAGGGGCTGTGAAGCATGACTTATGAGGACAGGCTGGAAGAAGTAGGGTTATTTAGCCTGTAGAAGACAAGACTGAGGAAGAAGTAGGGTTATTTAGTTTGAAGAAGACAAGATTGATAACAGTTTCAGATACCCGCAGGGAGATTATAAAGAGGATGGACATTTTCAAAGCAGCTTGGACAGACAGTTTGGCCAGGAGATTTAGGCCAGGACAATCCTGCCCTAAGCAGGAGACTGGATTAGATGCCCTGATGAGGTCCCTTCCAGTCTTACCTTCCTATGATCCCATACCTGCATCCACTGCTTCACTAGTCTCACCACAGGGTAGCCATGCTCCTCTCCATCCACCCCTCCTCATCCCTGCCTGTGGTCCCTGCACTCACTCTCTTGGATATACTGGTCCATCTGTGAAAGCACATACTCACTCCCTGCAGCTTTTTTCTGTTGAAGAGCAAGGGGTGGTGGGCAGATCCTTGATGATTTGTTCCACAGGATAGTAGGCTCCCCCACCCCAACCTCCTGATGCTGCTTCTCTTGCAGGGTGACTCTGGTGGCCCCCTGGTGTGCCAGAAGGATGGCATCTGGACCCTGGTGGGGATCGTCTCTTGGGGAAGCAATACCTGCTCCCCCTCCAGCCCCGGCGTTTACACTCGTGTCTCCAAGCTCAGGCCCTGGATCAATGAGATCATAGCAGCCAATTAATGCTGGCAGTGCAATTAATGCTAGCAGTGGCTCCCATGTGAACAGACAATAAATGACACCTCCAAGCCTAGCCTCACCTGCCCTATGCTCTTGCTTTAGGACACTGATGATCAGTGTGGGGGGGGGGAGGAGGGAGGGGCAGGGGAGGAGGATTCAGGCAGAAGCACAGATCTCATGTGGCATCCTGCTTATGCACTGAGAGCTGGGGGAGCTTCATCACACATTCCCCAAATCTTTGGGAGTCCCCAAAGGGTGGCTGTCTTTCCCAGAAGGCACGAGCTCATGGAGGCTGGCACCAGGTACCTTGAGAGTTCAAAAGGAGACGGGATGCACACCTTCCTGGGGTTATTTGACACCAGCGGTCTTTCCTGGCCAGAGCAGGGGAACTGGACCGGACAATCTCACGAAGTCCCTTCCAGCCCTAAACTTCTGTGACTCTGTGACGGCAGCAGCCTAGTGTAGCACCAGGGTGAGCACTATCACAACCTAGCTAATGCAAACCAGTGCCACAGCCACACCCCCAGAGCTCTCACCACTGCTCAAGGGTCCCTCCTGAAATCAGCGGCATATTCCTAATCATCCAGCCCTCTCTGCCTAGTGCAATGGACCCAGAAAGCCTGAAACCCCCTCTGCAGGTTGGCTTCACAATTCCACCTTAATGATCAGTTCCACCTTAAGGAGGGGCTGGGTATTAAGGGGAGTCCCCAGCCAAGATGCTGGGCCAGTCCAGAAGCTGCTTTCACTTTGGGTAGTCAGCAGCTGGGAGCTGCAGGGCAAGTGCAGACCACACAGCTCTGGGCCCTGCCGTTCCTCCCCTGCCTTGAGCTGGGCTCCTCTGCCCCCAGGGCTAGGTGGTTGCAGCCCCACTAAGCCAGAAGCCACCCACCATCCTGTTTGCTCTCAGCCATGGCACTGCTGAAACTGCAAGGAGCAATGAGGATTTTCAGCTGCCAGAGGAGCTACTCCCTGAAGGCACAGGTAAGGGTGGGAGTTGTGGTCAGGGCCCTCCACTGCCCCTGGAAGCCCAGATTTCCCTTCCTGACATGGCCTTGAGATGACCTTTGGAAGGAAGCAGCTCCCATACAGACCCCTCTGTTGCTGGGGAGAATCCAGGGTGATTTGTGCAGCAGTCCTGCAGGGCCAGACTTTACCCCCTGCTCTCTGCTCTCTGGCACCGTGCTGCAGCATGTGGATCGTGGCTGCCCTCTATTCCTGCTAGGTGGAGTTAGGTTGGGGACACCTTAGGTCCCACCTACAGGGCTCCCAGCAGCCTCCCTTGCAGTCCTGGCTGAGTAGCATTGTGTGCTGGGACCTGTAGTCTCCCCCTGCCACTTGCTGTCTGTCGACCTAGGCATGGCCTGCACTCCCTTTCACAGACAGCTAGTCCTCTGGTGGCAAAAGGCTTCCACCTGACAGCCCCTAATCCGGTCCAAGCCAGGCACCATGCAGCTGTGGCCCGTGCTGCTGAGTTGCATCCCTCAATCCTGCCCCATCCAATCGATCACCAGCACAAGAGATGCTTTTGCCTTGGGCAGAACAGGGACAGTCAGACACAAAACACTTCAAGCTTCACCTTTTCTTAAGACATATTTAATCTGTGATGCTTCAGGAGCACACAGACATCCAGCTGCCTCCCAGCTCAAGCAGCATTGTGAAGCACTCGGGAGTTATCCCTATTTCTTCTGGGGGCGACTGTTATATTACTCAAGCTGGTTTGCAGCATGGTAGCACATGTAGGATGTCTGTCCCTGCCCTGCAATGATTAGGTTAGAGAGGTAGAAACCTTGGTAATGAACATCTGGTCTGTTTCCATTGAGGAAGGTGAAGGAAATCAAGCCCCAAGACAAGCTAAAGCCAAACTGTAGCAGCAGTTGTCAGTAGGGATACAAGGGAAAGTCACTGCCAAAGGCAGTCTCCTGCAGGAGGGAAATCAAGGACAGCACCTGAGATGAACAGTAGGCAGAGTCAGCTCCAGCAGACCTTCTTCTTCTTCTTCTCATGTCTTTGTTCATAGGCTAGATGTTTTTCCAGAGTTGTGCTCAAGTGAAGGCTCTTTCTGTTGCTGCAGCAAGGTCTTCCTCCTTGTCACTAACTATTTCAAATGTATATAATGCAAACCTCTAACTTGCAGCAGGTTGGCCTGCTGCATCACAGCCTTTTAGAGGGCTGGCACTGACAGTCATTTCTGTAAACACTAAGGGACTCACAGGAGCCAAAAGGGACATTCTTTCCAGGATGTGTATGAATTACAGATGTCATGCTCTGTCTCTAGGGTACACATAGAGGGCCAAACAAAAATAGGTCACTGTTCCATGGGATGAAATTAGCCATCAAAAGGCAGCATGAGAAATAAAGCAGCAGGTATTAAACATATGCTAAAATCTTCCTTGGGACATCTGGGGATGATCACTGAGTTACCAGGGGAAAAATATCATTCTGCTTTGAGAGTCTTGCTAAAGGTAGGACCTGGCAGCTGCTTGCTGGGTGTCTTTCAGTATGTCTGTGCCAGTGGCTCATGGAACCACTGGATTCATCCTGCAGAACTGGAAGGTGCCTTTGCCCCTGTTGGTACCAAGCCCTGTTGTGCTAGGGCCAGGCACCTGGGAGCTGAGTCCATATCAACACTGCTTTCCTCAGCCCCTGCTCCTGGCTGCAGTGCGGGTGCAGGTTCTAGCAGATGAAGAGCTACACTGCAGCTGGGAGGTGCAGGTGGGGGGCCAGGAAGAAGCAGCAGCAGCAGTGATGACTCTGCTCCCAGCTTCCCTGCCCTCCACAGCTCCCCACCAGCTGGAAGTGGCAGAGCAGGGGGCTGGGGGAAGTGGCAGAAGCATGGGTGCAGTTCCCAGCTGTGTGGCTCCAGCATCGGCATAGTCAAGGTCCCTGCTGCTGATACACTGTCAAAGCCACCCAGCCTGCATCTGAGCACAGCCAGCTTGTTCTGACCTATGACTTGGTAAAGGTTGCTGGCCCCTGATCTACGCCATGGCAGGTGGTGTCCTGGCTAGGCTGTTCTTGAGCTCTTCCTGCACCTCAGTCCCACTCACACACTCCAAACCCAGGAGCACTCCAAGGAGGTTGTTCCAGGATGTATCTCTATAGTTGCTCTTGAGCCCTCAGTCTCCAGCAGCTACCGGGGACATCACTGGCCTGGCTTCACTGGGCACTTCTGGGTTTGGTGTACAGGGCTGTGGTGTGCGCAGGGACAGCCTGCCAGGAGGCACCGTCACTGCAGTATAGTAAACCCTCTGCGTCTCCTGGCCAGCTGAGTTTTGCTTACAACCCAAAGGCTGCTCTTTCCCCCTGCTTAGTTCTGCAGGTTCCCCTGAGGTTCAGAGCATCCAGCTGAGTTCTTCCCTTCTCAGATATAATCAGCAGCAACAAAGGCTTTTCTTGCCACATGTGGGACCAACAGGAAAGGAGTCTAACTCCTGTTTCCACCCTGCCACTGGGCTGGCCCTACAGGGCCCACTTGAAAAGCAGAAATTTCACATTTTGATGAGTAAACTTGGTCTCTATTATACACAGGAGAGGAGGCAGCTCGGGCAAGGAGCAGCTGTTTGTAAGTAGACAGTTTGCAGAGTCAAACTTGGCATAAATGCACAACAACTGCAAAGCTTTGTCTTTTGACTTTAATTTGTGCTAATGAAAAGAAAAAGGCTTATTTATGGTCACTGGGTTTGTTAAACACAAGCACATGTGAATGAGGAGAGCTACACAATGGACTTTATTTGTGGAGCAGGAAGAAACCTCTGCAGAGCCTCCAGCTAAATAAGTAACCTGTTTAGGGGGCCATCTCCCAGTTTCCAACTTCCTCAGTCTCCTGTTAGGGAGCCTCTCTAAATTACAAGTCCTATCACTACACACATCAGGACCCAGGCAGCCAGATGTGGGGTCTAGACTGCCTGCTAATGGAGCTAGACTGGCAGGTAGGCAGCAAGACTGCCTGCTGGTGACAATGACATGTATCAGTGGTTCTCAAGCTCACTGGACTCAAGGCACCTCTCTCTGGATTCAAAGCATCCCTCCATATCTTTTGTGAATAAAGTAGCACCCAATTTCCAAAACTAATTTATATATTGCAGCGCTTACCTCCTTGCAGAGGGGTGTGGGATCGGTCAGGCAGGAACAAGCTTGAGTCAGTGCTGTCAGATCCATGGCAGCCTTCAAAGAATATGGTAGCAACCCATGGTGCCATGACATGCTGGGTAAGAATCACTGACCTATATGCCCAGTACATAACTTCTGCCACAAGAGGAACCCATCTTCCAGGAGAGGTTGTGAGGCTAGTCTTGTCAACCTCTTGGGTTGAACCCGAACCCTAATTCTGCTCCTGCCTCATGCTTTACAGCACACCTTCAAGGTCTTGCAGCTTGTAGATATCCTGCACTTCCCAGCTCCCCAAGGGCTGGGCACTTGGTATTCACAGGGGAGTCATAGCAGAACAAAGTGGTCTCCTCAGATAATTTGGAGAAGTCATGATAATCCTTTAAATTTTCTTTCTGTGATCCATTGTTTGGCTGAGGAGGAAGCTGACAGCAGATGCTGAGAGGAGGTAAAAGGAGTCTGAGATTCCTGGTGCCAATAATTTAAAATAAACATCAGAGAGGAGGTCTGCACAGCACACAGAGGGTGTGAGTGGACCACATGCCAGCACACTTAGGCTAGTTTGGTCTAGGTAGCCTACATAAGCACAGCAGAGTCACAGGGTCATAGGAAAATAGGGCCACAAGTGACTTCAGGACATCAGCTAGTCCAACCCCTGCTGAAGATAGGGTCATCCTGTCTAAACCATCCCAGCCAAGTATTTGTCTGACCCGCCCTTGCAAACAGAAAATGACGAGATTCTGCAGCCTCTACTGAACCCCTTTAGTTCTCAGCCAAGCCCATGATTAGAAGGTCATTTCTAATACACAACCTACATTTTCTTTGTTACAATTTAAGACCATTGCTTCTTGTTCGCTTTATAACCAACCTATTTTTGTATGCTATCTAATCCCCCTTCAGGCTTCTCTTCCTCAGACAAAAAGTCCTGGTTCTTCCAGCCTTTCCTCATGTCATGTTGCCTGGACCTCTCACTATGTATGCTGCTCTCCTCTGGACTCTTTTCAGTGTGTTCATATCTTTCTTGAAATGTGGTGCCCAAAACTGGACAGAGTATATCAGTTGCATCCCAAATAAAGTGGAAGAATCACTTTCTGTGACTTGCATAAATATACCTGCGAATATAGTCCAGTGTGCTACAGGAGAATCCCATTTCTGTGGCACAGTTTTTCTTTCCAACAGAATCATGCTACTTACCAAACTATGCTAAGAAGTTCAATTGCCAAAAATGAAAAAAAAAAGACTGGAAATAGATAGCATAATTCCAAATAATGCAGTGCTGTACTTCAGGTTACCCCACGTTTTTTGTTGGCAAATAAATTGAAAAATGATGGCAGCTGCTGTTCATCCAGATGTTATGCCCCATTCTGCCCTTATATTTGAGCAAGTGTGTGTGTGAATAATGAAAAGAAAATCCCACATGTAAAAAATAAGTTCTGTTTTTCTTAAATGTGCTGCTGAGCGAATGTTGCCAGTACGGTGGTTAACGACCTCAAAAAAGATAAATGTATTTATTAATTTGAGACAGCAAAAAGTCAGTTGACTAGCTTACAAAAATATTTAATAATCTAAAACATAATAAATTGTCACTTGCTATGAGAAATCTCTTTCCAGGTGCTGGTCAATCTTTGCATTAGCCAATTAACTTATCCTTGGCTTGCTTTGTCTGGTCCCAGTTTATGCAATAAACTGAAATATGCAAAAAGCCAACATGCAAGTAAACTGGCAAAATGTAATTGAATAGATAGCAACTAAAATATGCAAATAATTGAAATATGCAAATAATTGATGTGTAATAAAGAAGAATCTACAGTAATGCTTTCTTTTTTACACTATCACACTGTTGACTCATAGTCAGTGAGCAATCCTCTGCAGTCCCCAGATCCTTTTCTGCAGTACTGCAGCCTAGCCTATTGTTTCCCCTCTTGCTTTTGTGTCTTCGGTTGTTCCATTCTAAGTACAATTGTTTGCACTTGTTCTTACTAAAATTAAGCTGATTTATTTCAGACCATTTCTCCAGTTTATCGAGGTCATCCTGAATCGTAATCCTGTCCTCCAAAGTGTCTGCAACTCCACCCAACATATCATTTGCAAATTTGTGAAGTGCATACTCAATTCTTTCCTTTAAGTCATTAATGCAGATGTTAAACAGCACAGGACCCAGGACAGACCCCTAAGGAACCTCATTTGATACCTCTTCCCACTGTAAAATGGCTCAAAAACATGGTGCCATTGATGACTATTCATTGAGCACAATGGTACAAACAGTTATGCACTCACCTTACAAAAGTTGAATGGCACCCACTGTTCTCCCACCATCCAGAATACTCGTCATTTTGTCATAGAAGGAAATTAGGTTGGTTACGCATGACTGTCTTGACCAGTGGTGCTCAACCTTTTGGGTCTGCAGGCCAGGTCCTGTGCACATGGTCAGTCCACAGGCTTAAATCATGCAGTGACCCACACATCATATCTGGGTGTGCAAGGGCTCATCCCCATGCACCAGATCCAGCTGTGCACTGGGATGCACTAGCATGCAAGGCTACTTCACAGGTCTTGCTATGGGTCCAGAAATTCGGCATCAGGGGAGTGGCAATTAACACAGCCACCACTCACCTGCTGCCAAATTTTTGGACCTGTGGGGAGACCTGCTGGCCAGATAACACAGCTCCATGGGCTGTTCTTTATTGCCTTGTTACTTTCTAGGTGCTTTGAAGTGGATTCCTTAATGGCATATGGCAGTATTTTTTCAAGGGACAAAGACAGAGAATCATAGGCTTCAGCATGTCATAGCATACAGTACATAGACAAGGTCATTGGAAAACATGTATTCTCATTGCTAGCACATGATACAGCCTATGTCTTTGCTGCTATTATCAATGCTAGCCAGAAAGCAGCACAAGTGTGCTAGCACATGCCTCACTGCCCCTTTCATATTGCTGTGTAGATACACCCATCCACTCGCCAGTACATAGACAAGCATATAGTGATGGAGAAAGTGCCACTAGGCAGGAGTATGTTAATGCACTTCTTCCCGGGGGACTGTTGTCTGTAGGAGCTCTGTAGAGTCAAAGGGTAGATGGTATTGCTCTCCAGTGTTCCTGGGCCTGCTAGGCCTGCCATCTGTGCACAGTGCCAGATTGGCTTGGAACGGGCTGTTCTGGCTGATGGTTACTAACAGAAGGTGACTGAAGGACCTTTTGGTCCTGTTGTATGCTGCACATGCAGCTAGTCCATCAACCAGGAGCTGTATGTGGGGGTGTTTCTGTGGAAGACTGATGAACACTGCAGACAGTTGGATATGGTGGGGCATTTCCCCTCTCCTACCACTTCCTCTGCCCATTGTGAAGGCTCTCTGTCCTCCTCCCTGAGGAGTATGGCAGGCACTGTTAACATAATGCCTTTTTACCTCCCCACAGGGGCAGCTGACAAAGGACTTCATGGAGGCATTGAAAGCAGTGGCAGGAAGCTCAAATGTGTCCATGTCTCTAGCTGTTCGTGAGCAGCATGGGAGGGATGAATCCATGCACAGGTATCCCAGGATGCTCCATTAACAGAGCAGGCAGGCTCAGAGCTGATCACCTAACCCAGTTCCTGAGCCACGCAGGTGCCTTTAGAGTCACCTCTGCTACTTTACCAACCCTTGCCAGCCTGGGCACCCTGACCCTTGGGGAGATGTCCTGAGTCTGGGAGGGGCTCACACCCCGAATCTGATCACACCCTGAGGAGGGCTGTCCTATATCCAGTGCTGAGCCTGATAGAGGGTCATGGCCTGTAGGCACTGTTGCTGTGCACATAGGCAGGACTCATCAGGGGTGAGCTCCAGTGGCAGAGGGCTGTGTGAGAATCCATGGAAGAGGTGGGGCAGAGCTGGGTTTATGGATCCCAGCAGGAGTGTGTGGTACATAGGGAGAGCAATCTCTTTGGTGGGGTCCTACTGGACATGGCATGAATAAGTGGCTCTCAGCCTGAGGCCTCCAAGGGTCAGAACTACCCATTGTTGGGGCAGCAGTGACACCTTGTGGTCAGAGCATGAATAACAACTGGGTAATCACTGCTCCCTAGGGCTGGAGTGAGTAAGGCCAGTACAATTCTCCTTTCTCCATCACATGTGCCCTGTCTCTTAGCAGATCGTGTCAGTTCTAGAGCAGAAGCTTTTAGATCCAAAGGCCACCTATGCCCACCCCCAACCCTGGAGCCATCCAATGTGCTGCTGTATCACTATCTGTCCTTTCTCCCTGCATGGGCCCAGCTAATTCCCTGAAGCTCTTGTACTCACATGTAGGAGCCAGGCTGGGTAGATGTCAGTGCCCTGTGAGCTGTGCTTCGGCGCAGCCATGTGGCACTTGGCAATCCCCTGGGCAGCTGGCTTTAAATAGGGCTCCTCCCTGCCTGCAGATGCAGCCCGCCAGATGCAGTGGTCTGGCCCCAGGATGTGGAGCAGGTCAGCAAGCTGGCTGCGATGTGCTACAGCCAGGGTGTTCCCATAATCCCCTTCGGCACTGGCACAGGACTGGAGGGCGGCGTGAGCGCAGTCAAGGTATGGAGTGACTGACAGGGTTGTGGGGAGAGGGTTTGACTGAGTTTGGTGGTCAGAGGATCTTATTCGGAGCTCAGCCCTCCCTCCAGCTGAGTTAAAGTACAGGTGGGGGAGCCAGGACTCCAGGGGTCTGCTGTTCTTTCTGGCACTGCCACCCTCAGTGATATCAAGTCATTTGGCCTCCTCGTCCCATCTATTGGCCATAGGTGCTAGGAGGCCAAATTCATCATGAGCTGTACAGAGCTTGGTGTACTTAGGAGGGAGCTCACCAGGGAGGTCACATCTGCCCCATCAGCTTCCATAAGATATGATGCTCATGCCTTGGAGGCTCCACATGAATAATGGGACCAGTCTCTTGGCCTAACACGACAGCATCTCCCCACTCAGTTGGTGTAAATCAGGTTCCCAGCTAGTGTAAATCAGTGTCACTGTTGAAATGGGTGTAACCAGTGTAGGTCCAGTGAGCCCTGTTTGTGCTGATTCATCCAGCTGAGTGCTGAGCCCAGAGTCTCTCTACCCAATGCCTGGTGGCCTGGATGCAGTGACCTAGTGGCTGTGGCTCCCAGCATAGGTGCTGTGCTCACTAAAGCAAACAGCTGTTCTTTGAGAAAACCCGGCCTCTGCTTAACTGGCATTGGACAGGCAGATTCCTCCCAGGCTGACCTAACTTGTCCTCACAGGCAGGAGAACAGCTCCTGGTCTGCAGAAGTTCTGCTCTTCAGGGCACCTTTACCTGGGCTATGTGTCTCAGATCTTCTGAGACCTTGTGAGAGCTGTTCTGAGGTGTCTGTGAGGCTCCCCCCCCAGTCCGGTTGACCCAAGGCAGATTTCAGGACTTCTTAAGGAATTGCTGAAAACTCACAGCATCTGTTGGTACAGGACCTGCTTCCATGCTGAGTAAGGAAGTCCATGGTGGTTGAGGGAATTTGGTAGTATGAAGCAGAACCATGTCCCTCCTTGAGAGGCTCTGCTATGTTCTTGGAACTGATGCCCAGAGGAGCTTTGCTGCTGGCACTGATGAAGGCTCCATCCATGGGGAAACTCTTGCTGGCTGTTTCTTCCCCTACCCCCAGGTCACATGTAACTAGCTGGGTATAGCCAAAGTCCACTTCTCCAATGGCCAAGTGCAGGCTCTCCTTTGTCATCTCTTTTACTAAGGTGGTACCTCAGGAACCAATGCTGGGTTATTCTGACTCCCTACAATGTTAGGGCATCCTTGGCCAGTTATCCCTGGGTACAGAGCAGGGGAACCCCAGCCTGGACTCTCTTGGTGGCTTGAGCACTGGAGCTTCCCACTGCCTATCTGGTCTTGGCAGACACCAGGGGCAACTGCATGAACAGATTTCTAATCTTTGGTCCATCCTCCATGCCAGGGCGGTGTGTGTTTTAACCTGACCCGGATGGATCGCATCTTGCAGCTGAACACAGAGGACTTCACTGTGGCTGTGGAGCCTGGGGTGACCCATAAAGCACTCAACAGCTACCTGCGGGACAGCGGCCTCTGGTTCCCTGTTGGTATGGCTCACAGCACTTGGACAACTGGGGGCATGTAAGGGGCTGCCTCTTTTCCTCCTGGATGAAGGGCCACAGTGCAACCCAGCCACATGTAACTGCAAGTGGCCAATGACCGGGCTTGGGACTGTGGCAAAGCATTAACAGTGTCAGAGCAGGAAGTCAGAGGTACGGTGTGGAAGTGACAGTGCTTAGCTACAGCGAACAACACTGTGGCAGGTTGAAAGCAGGATCAAGATCAAGACCAAAGGCAGGGAGATTGGCTGTTGGGGACAGTGTCTCCATTGAGAAACCACTGCCACCTGCCCCTTGTAGCACAGGCTAAGGTATGAACAGACCATGGCACATAAGCAGTGCCAGACACATGGCTGTGCAGGGGCGAGGTGGGGAAGCCTGCTGCTCTGCTGCAGCCTGCCTGGGTCCTGCAGCCTGCCTGGGCACAGCAGCCCAATTCAGGCACATCCATTTAGTTACAGAGCGACGTGCTGCCACCCTGGGCAATAGCACTGCCCCTCCTTCCATTACAGCCCTAGCTTGTGTGGTGGGGGGTAGCCAGCTGCAGGACGGCTTGGCCCAGCATGGACCCTGGAATTGTAGGACCGCTTTGAGAATACTACAGGGCTTGTGGTGTGGGAAGCTGAGGGCCAGGGGAGGAAACCCCTGCCCACACAGGGATACCCTGTTCCCCTTGGATTCCTGTATTTAGAGTTCCAGATCTGGGCATGTGAGGGACTCTCCCTAGTTTGCCACATCTGAGCTGTCCGTTAGCCATGGGCAACTGCCACCCACTCTCACAGGAGTGTAATTTGCCTCCCTAGATCCTGGTGCTGATGCCTCTCTCTGTGGCATGGCTGCCACGAGTGCCTCAGGGACCAACGCAGTGCGCTATGGCACCATGCGCCACAATGTGCTCAACCTGCAGGTGGTGCTTCCTGATGGCCGGGTGCTGCACACGGCTGGCCAGGGGCGCCACTTCAGGTAATGGGCACAGGGCCTGACTTAGGGGTGGTCTGGGGGCCCACTGTCCGCAAAACTAACCCTGCCCCTTCTCTCCCCACCCCAGGAAAAGCTCTGCAGGCTACAACCTGACAGGGCTGTTCATAGGCTCAGAAGGGACACTGGGACTCATCACACAGGCAACGCTAAAGCTCCATGGCACCCCGGAGGCCATGGTGTCAGCCGTGTGCTCCTTCCCCAGTGTGCAGGCAGCAGTGGACTGCACAGTGCAGGTGCTGCAAGCAAGCATCCCCATCGCCCGCATTGGTGAGTCTGGCCCTGGGAGCCCCAACACTTAGAACTGAACGTGGCAGTGCCTGCTCTGCACTCACTCTGGAACTGAGCTCTCTGGTCAGTGGGGAAGAATCCATTCCAATTTGGCATCACCCCCCTTCCCAGCTAGGGGCCGAGATGCCTTGTAGTCTGGGCTCTGACACCCCCTCTGCCCCTAGAGTTCCTGGACGATGTCACGATAAGTGCCTGTAACCAGTTCAGTGGCCTCAGCTATGCAGTCTCCCCCACACTCTTCCTGGAGTTTCACGGCACCCCCAGGAGCTTGGAGGAGCAGGTCCAGAATACAGGTACTGCAGTGGATTGGGCCCATGGTAGGTGCTGTTTGAGGGGAGGAAGCACCTAATGATTGCAGCTAGTAGACACTCCTGCTTGGGGGCAGGGCAAATTCATCTGCCCTAGCAGGCCCTCCTCAGGTTGCAGTGGGGGGCACTGGCAGTCCCTGGTGGGTAGACCCCATCAGTGGCATAGGGGTTGGTGTTGCTGGTGGTGCAGGGGAGGTGGCCAAGGGAATGGACTGAGAGCTCAAGGCCTGAACAGCTGGCTGCCTGATGTCTGGCTCAGCTCACCTTAGCTCAACTCTGATATGGGACTGCCCATCCTGGCAGAGCTGGGACACAGCCTCAGGACCCCTTTTCTGCAGGGAGAAGGAACGTCCTTCCTGCTTTTAGCTATACAGGTAGCCAGAGCCAGGAACATGCATCTCCTCTTTATGGAGGGTGGTTTGGGTCACTTGCAGTGAGGCTAAAGGTAGGGCTTTTCCCTTTATCGCTCGGGCTGCCTGCCCCTGCCTGGCCCAGGCATGAGATTTAGCAGCCAGGGGTGTGTGACAGGGTGTGGGCTTTCTCCCTCTGTAGAGGACATTGTGCAGCTGAACGGTGGCTCTGACTTTGCCTGGGCCCGAGAACCAGAGATGAGGAACAAACTGTGGACTGCTCGGCACAACGCCTGGTACGCGGCCCTAGCCCTGCGACCTGGGAGCAAGGTGAGGTAGTGCCTAGGCAGCAGCAAAAGGGACAGCTCTTCACTTTGATCCCCTGTCCACAGGGCGCACTTGCTGTCTGCCTGCATGCATGAACCCAAGTGACACTACCAGTAGGTTTTGGATGGGGACACTGCCAGGCACCGTGCTGGAGGGCTACAGTGGGCCTTGCTGGCTCCAAAGTCTGAAGAAGGGGAGCAGCTTGCTAGGCCAAGCCTTGTGTCTAGAACCGCACAACTAGGGGCAGAGGGGTTCTTACAAAGGGACACCCAAATCCCATATGTGAGGGGCAGAGGTAGTTGGGATCCATGGAGGGGCCAAGCCAGGACCAGGGTCCACAATAGGGCTGAATGGAGAGGGGCTGTGCAGTTAACTCAAGGTTTGTGACCAGGTAACCTCTCCCCATGCAGAGCAGGTAGCTGAGTGCTGTGCCTTGTTTCCCCAGGGCTACTCCACGGATGTGTGTGTCCCTATCTCCCAGCTCCCCAAGATTGTGGTGGAGACCAAGAGAGACTTGGAGGAATCTGGGCTCACGGGTAGGTCATCCCATGCCTGCCAGCTCCGAGTGCCCCTCAGCCTGGGCATCACACCCTGCTGCTACACCCTCAGTGTGACACAAGGTTACATGGAAAAGGGGTGGGGTCCTAAGCAAGGAAGCAGGGAGCTTAGCATTGTGCTTCAGGGGGCTAGGGAGAAGCGGTCTCATGTGCCTGTTGCAGGGGAATAAAGGACATGAAAGAGCCTGTCTGCATACACCATGAGGCTGCAGAGGGGTTAGGCCTGGCTGTGCCAATTCACTCTGTGTGCAGCAGTGCCCCCTTTGTGCTGGGAGCTGTGACAGGTTCTGACCCATTGTGTGGGGCCACAGGACTAGCAACAGGCCTGAATGTGGGCTTGTATTTAAACCACCCTTCAATGGGAGGGTGCTCATAGCAGGTAGTGCTGGCTGAAGGAGATGGGCATGCATCACTGCACAGATCTGCTCACGCCCCTCAGTGCCAGCCCACCCCTGGTCTCTATAGCACCATGTCAGTTATTCTGCAATGGGACACAGACTTACCTAGGAGAGCCTCATCATTGTGTCTTGAGGCCTAGGGGCTTTCATAGATTCATAGATGTTAGGGTCGGAAGGGACCTCAATAGATCATCGAGTCCGACCCCCTGCATAGGCAGGAAAGAGGGCTGGGTCTAGATGACCCCAGCTAGATGCATATCCAACCTCCTCTTGAAGACCCCCAGGATAGGGGAGAGCACCACCTCCCTTTTTTCCTGGGTGTCCAGCAATGGCAGTGCAGAGCACTCACCCATGCTGCATCTGCTTGGTCTCCTCCCCTGACAAGGTCTGGGACCAGTTAACCCCTTGCATGCCATGCTGTACTTACATTAGTAATTACATGTCCACAGGGCTGCATGGGTAGGTCTGTGGGCACTCTTGTCATCTGGGCTGCAGTCACATCCAGTGTCACCCGAGGAGGCAGCAGGGATGGGATGGAAAATGCTGATGGCTGATTCAGTCAAGGCAACTGCATCACTCCCCCCTCCCTCCCCATGGTGTGAGGGGTGCTGTGCTGCCAGAGGGTCCATCTCTTGGGAGATTTTTGAGGCCGCCCCCCCCCCCCCCGACATTTGTCTGAATGGCTGGTGCTTTAGCCCCAGATTGCGATTTGTCTGGTAACCCCTCTAACAAACTAAAATGCCTCCGGCATTTGAACATGACATGTGTTCTTCATTCCTGGAACTGCTTTAAAACAGTCATAAAATCATAGAAAATTATGGTTGGAAAGGACCTTAGAAGGTCATCTAGACCAACCCCCTGCTCAAAGCAGGACCATCCTCACCTAGATCACCCCCAGCAAAGCTTTGTCTAGCTGGATCTTAAAAACCTTCAAGGATGAAGACTCCACAACCTCTCTGGGTAACCTCTTCCAGTGGTATACTATCCTAGTGAGAATGTTTTTCCTAATATCTAACCTACACTTCCCTTACTGCAACCTGAGACTATTGCTTATTGCTCTGTCATCTGCCAGCACTGAGAACTGTCTAGCTCCATCCTCTTTGTAAGCAGTTCCCACACTCCTCCCCAGAGCAAGCTGCCTTTTAGCAATGGGTGACTTGATTCCCTTGTGCAGGTTTTGCAGGAGCCCAAAGGATTATCTGGGAGGGAGATGCTGCTGGTAAGGGTTCCTGGGAGCTCTTGGTCCTAGGGCTGGGGCACTGGCTGCACACAGATTGTTTGCATCCCTGCAGGCACTATTTTTGGTCACGTGGGTGATGGGAACTTCCACTGCATCCTGGTGCACAACCCAGATGACCCAGATGAGAGCCGACGTGTCAAGGACTTCACAGACCAACTGGCCAGGTGGGAAGCCTAGCCCAGCCCAGCCCAGCCGCTTGGCTCCAGAGGAGCAGTGCGGTCATAAACAGAGATTAAGAGACCCTAGGAGTTGTTCTAAGCATCCCAGCCTGACATATCCTCCTCCCTGCTGGGGTCCTGCTGTGGACCAACATGAGGCCAGGATCATGGGGTTGTTCTTAGAGCCCATTTCCTGGACAAAATGGGGAGTGGATCTGGGCTACAGAGCAGTGCTCCCATAGCCCTAGAGGGCTCCTAGTGTGACCAGGACAGAAGCAGCCTTGCTTGAGGGGGCAGAAAGGCTGCAGCCTTCTGGACTGGCCTTTGAGTGTAAACCTGGCTGACGCAGGGAGAGCAGGCAAAGGAACCACCAGGGCTTCCAAGAGAAGCCACTGTTCCCAACACGGGCACTCCCTCCCCTGCCTAAGCAGGAAGGCAGCACCACCACCTCCCATATCCAGAAGTACCTTGCAGCCTGCTCTACAGGCACAGAAGGTAGAACTGCCTGCCTGGGTGGGGTAGGCAGGCACTATACCCCTCACAGCCCGGCCTGGCAGCTGCTGCTTCAATGGCATTGCAGTGGATGGACATAGGCCACAGGGTGGGCCAAGCTGAGGAGGGCACACTGCTTTTTGGCCCTTCCCTTCAGCTGCTCTTCCTCAGGCTGCATCTCTGCCCTTCCCTTCCCTTCTGTGTCCCTTGCCTGTGCTCCTGCTCTCCTAAGGCATCTCTTCCCCTCTCTTCTAGGAGGGCTCTGGCCCTGAATGGCACCTGCACAGGGGAGCATGGCATTGGGCTGGGCAAACGCCAACTGCTGCAGGAGGAGATTGGAGAGGTGGGGCTGGCCATCATGAAGCAGATCAAGGTCATGCTGGACCCCAAGAACCTCATGAACCCTGGGAAGGTCCTGTGAAGAGTCCTTGCTGGCCCATGCTAGAGTACTGGGCTGACGGAGGAGCAGGGGAAGTCTCCAAAGGCAGCTCCAGAGCCTGGAGTGGAGCCCCCGCCAGGGCAGCTCTTGATTGTAACTCAGGCTCTGGAAATTCAGATGCTGGGGGGAAGAGAAAAGCCCCCCCCAAGTCAGAGACTTGTAACCATGCTATGCTAATGCAGAGTTTATGGTTTATGGCTTGTGTGTGTGTTGGGGGAGGGGGGATGGAGAACATAAGATTGACCCAGATTTAATGTGTGAACAAAAATACAACCTACATGCTTCCTTCCTTCCTCCCCCATTCTGCTGGCACCTTTCACCCATAACCCACATCCCCTGTCACCTATGTCCTGGGCTCAGTGCAAACTCCTCTGCCCATACCCCTCTGTCCTAGCCCATGACTCCCACGTTGTCTCAGCCCAGGCTTCCCATCTCTACCTCTGCCACTGCCCCTCAGTCCTACTGTGAATTCCCCTGCTATCCAAGTCCTTGGCTCTCCTTGCCCCAGCTCTGCCAGTGGCCTTCAGTCTGGGCTCCCCTGTATATGGGGCTTTGCTAGTACCCCTCATACCAGTGAGGGAAGCAAGCTGTGGATGACAGCAGTTTCTATGTAGTTGCCAAGCAATATTAGTTGAAGCAGTGGGGAGGTGAGCTCTGGCTACCTGATAAGCCCTACAGAAAGCTGTGCCTACAGACCTTTAAGGGAAAAGTGAGCATCTGCTCTAGCTGGGGCTGGAGGAGGCGATCACTAAACTCCCCATGGGGTACAGCAGAGCCAGCCCAGCACTGTTCTCTCTGCTATGCTGCAGGGTGGGTAGCAGCAGTCCCAGCCAGGACAGCATCTTAGGGTATGCAGCAGGGGGGAAGGAGAGCCCCTGTGAAGCACTATGACAACTCCAAGACCTGGTGCTGGATGTTGGAGCTCATGCAGCAGCACCCAGCACAGAACAGCAGCCAGTGATGGCTGCCCTAACCCCTAACTCCTTGCATACACAAAGGTCCTACCTGAGAAGTGCCAGGTTGTCCCACAGGGGCAGGTCTCACAGCATGTTGGGCAGGCAGCAACTTGGCTTGGGGTGTGCCATAGCAGTGACAGGGTCTCCTTATCTTCCCAACCCAGCAGTTCCGCACAGATGGCCGTAGCTCTCCTTTGGCTTTCTCTGTCCCTCCCAAAGGGCTCCATTGAGTATGTATGTAATAGGAGTGAGACCCTTTGAGCATACTTATGACCGCAATAAATGTAGCAAATCCTTAATGACCCTCTCTGATCCGCTTAAAAACAGGCAGAAGTCAAAGGCCCCAAGCGAAACTCCCCCACCCCCTGTGCGCGCACACTGAGATGATGAGTCAGACAGCAGAGCTTCCAGCAACCTGCCAAACAACCTCCTCTGGGTCATGGAGCTGCTGTGGATCAGTACCCTAGAGCCAGGGCAGTAATACCCCACCACAGGAAGGAGCCCTGCTACTGCTACTATGAGCAGCATCCATGCAGTGTCCAGCGATGGGAAGCTCAGGCGCGTGGCTGGAGTCCAGGCTTGCAGTAGCTGGATAGGTCTTTTGCAGTCCCAGCCTCTCCAAGGCCCCAACACATATCTTTTGCAGTACCAGCCTCTCCAAGGCCCCAACACATAGGTCCATGCACAGGAAACAGAACAGCCCAGGAGGGATGTGTGGTTCTCTCAGTTTTACATTTGGGGGAGGATGGGGGTGGGAAGACAGGGTCACTAACTGGAGCAGGTTGTGTTTGCCCACAAAGATACCCTGAGGCCATTCCCAGTCATAGGCTCCCTCTGCCCCCACCTCCAGGCTTGGACCACTGTGACCTTACTGCAAACTCCAGGTCCTGCCCAGCAGAAGGCAACCTGCTCCAGCAGCAGCACACAGCCAGGCTGCCTCTGCCCAAGGCTTGTGTGGGAGAGCTTGTGCTCTCTGCCATGACGCTAGTGTGGGAGAGCTCTCCTGCCCACACTTCAGTAGGACATCATGTGGCAGGGTGGAGCTCAACCCCTGGCCTGCACACGAGCTGCAGGAGCCTTGATTGCCCATGCTGTGTGCATCAGCTCTTTCAGGGCCCAGCCCTGCCATTGCCCTCAGCAGCTGCAGGGTGTGGGCAGAAGCATCCATGCTCCTGGCTCAGCCTCTCCTGCAGGCTTATTTCTAGCATGCAGCGCTACCAAGGCCATGGTCTCCTTTTGGGGAGCTCCAGCTCTGTACATCACAGGCATTATGATCTGCATTAGGGGGGCCAAGTGGAACCCCCAGTACAGCTCAAGGTGACCAGTAGGGGAAGGAGGAGCAGAGCCAATGCTCCCTTTGCCTGGGGCTAGGACCTTGATGCAGCACCCCACACAGCACGGGGAAAATGAGGCAGCAAGGTCCCTTTGGTATTGTCACAGCACACCCTGCTGGACACTCACCAAGATACTGTGCTCAGGCCACACATGCTGTTCCAGGGGTGATCAGCTTTCTTGGGTCTCAGCAGGCTCTTGCAACTAGCTCTTGATCCACCCACAATACCAAAGATCTCTGGTACTCCTTCATGGAAGTGAGACCCCCAATGTCTAGCTGGCTTAGGCCCCCAGGACCAGTGCTGACCCCCAAAGTACCCTGTTCCCAGAGCTCCAGCCTTGTGAGTGCTCTTCAGGTGGGCCGAGTCGGTGACTAGGTGAAGCAGACATGCTGGCTTTGTAACGATTCCAATACAAAGCACTCTACTTCAGCCAGCACACAAATGCCACACAGCTCAACAAGCCCAGTTGGACACTTTGCCTCAGGTGCTCATCCTCTCTCAAGTATTTCTTGGCCTTAAGTTAGTCTTGTGAAGTCCATAGCTTCATCTCCAGTCACTCCCCCAGCACAGCCAGTTTCCTTCTTTTGACACATTCATTTTCACTGAAATAGCTAGTGAAACACTCTTGTATAGCTTCCTGCCCTATTGGTTCAGTACCCTACCCTTAGACTCTCACAAGGTGGTTCTCAACCTTTTAGGACTCAAGACACCCCTTGGAAAATGTAAGCTCTTAGTTTGCACTCAATTTTGACTATGCAAAAATAAGTCATTCTTCTATTGTAAAGAACTCAGAAAGTCCACAACAGGCCAGAAAGCTTTTAGCACTATGGATTCCTATTTGAAATATCTGGGTTTATCTTGTGAATCATGTTTGCAGCACCCTGGTTGAGGACCA